TGTGAAAGACAGAGCCGTCATATTTGTGCCGGCGATCGGCAAAGTGACCACAACTATGCTTCAGAGGAATCTATTGCGGCTCCGAAGACACGCCACGAACTGGAAGATCAATACTAAACGAGTATAATATAATGGTTTTTAGGTGTGATTTCGGTCCGCAATCGGATTTGGCTTAAAATTAACGCATTGTTAACAGAATAATCACAATTTGTTTAATTAATATTAACCAAAATGAAAGATAGTTAATTGAAATGATGTGAGACATGTAAAATATTGATTCAGATGTAATAAAAACTTGGGTTATCTAATCGGGAATTTTTATCTTTATTAAATTACAATAAAATAAACTAAAGTAAAGATAAGTTTTTTATTTGCTACCCAATAAAAGTGATATCTTAATTAAATGTTTATTGCCGATGGTCAGCTGTACTTTACAGACTGTGCAGTAAATAATACATTATACTATGAGAATTACATTTAATAATTATAGCAGTATTTTAATTAACATTAATTTAAAATAAAATTATTAAATACTGTAAATGTATAGCAAAAAAGGGGAACACAAAAAAGTTAGATAACTGTAACGTTATTTCATGCAAAACAATACCAGTTATAAAGCGAAAGGGGGTTTGAATTGTCCATTGATTGGCCCACAGAATGACTGCCAATAAAACCCCCTCTAAAACACGTAACGTTTGTTGCGAACGATTCGTTAGGTTTTAGTTTTTTAGCGCAAATTATTCGGCAATTGATTTGAAGACATCAAACATCACTTCATTTGATCCGCTATTCAGACACAACACACACTCTCCGGGACACCAATATGTCTGCGCCGAAGACATCAGCCGCTGGCGAGGGATCGGTGGATGAGTTGGTCCGCGAAGTGCAGTCATTGCGGACACAACTCGAGGACTGGAAGAATGATTTGATGGAAGAGTTCTCCGAAATGACTGGTCTTCTCATCGATCACTTCGAGGACGTGATCGACAAACACCTGTCGGGCAAACCGTGTGACCACTGCAAGCATCGCGTCGGCCGACCCGTCGTCGACGACACCGTTGACGACAGCGTTAGTGTCGCCGACGACGACAAGCCGTCGGACGCCGGAAGCGATGGCAGCGAATCGCCGGCGGCTGACGAAGAGTCCGACGATCCGACTGATGGCCAGGCGTTGGCCGAAGAGATTGAGAAGGTTTTGGTTAGAGTCAGAAACGACATGAATATCGACTCCGAAGTCGATTAATGGCTTGTTTTCGGTCACATGACGAAGAGTCCGACGATCCGACTGATGGCCAGGCGTTGGCCGAAGAGATTGAGAAGGTTTTGGTTAGAGTCAGAAACGACATGAATATCGACTCCGAAGTCGATTAATGGCTTGTTTTCGGTCACCAAATGTTTGTCTCGTTTTATTCATTCATTTTATTTATTTATTCAAAACATATTTTCGTATATTTTTTGTGTTTAAATTGTATTTTAAATTAGTTTTATTTCATTTCAATGTTGTGTTTATTATTAATTTCATGAATACTTTTTAAGCCTTTATTTTTAAATTGCATTTATATTTGTCTGCATTTGATATGAATTTCCTGTTTATAACATTACTGTTATATTTCATGTGATTCTTAGGAAACTTTTTGTAAATGTTTTTGAATTTTTAATGAAAAACAATTTAATAATAGAAAAGTAAATCAAAACAATTCATTTCTTTAATACATTTAATACTTACAAAATTAGTGATATGAATGAGATTGTAATCAATAGACACTCGGAATATATCATTCTTAGGTATGGGTCGAGCGAATCGGTCGTAATCTCGGGACACAAATAGTAGTTTTCGTAGTTCTTTCAAATCGGCTACAAATATAATGAATGTATTATCAGTTTGTCTTCGTATGGGTTATCTATTATCACTCACCAGTTGTGACATTATTAGAGTATTCATTATATGCAGTGATTAGTGAAATGTTGAGCACAACTATCACTATTAGTGCTCTCATAATGAGAAATATTGGTATGAATTATGAATTCTTGAAGTTTTTGTCTTTGTTTTAATAAGAAATAATTTACATGAGGTTTGCGACGAGTGAAACACTGACACGAAATAACATTTAATTTGAAACCAAACCAACAAATTAAGTCTAAATTGATGGCAAAGTCCTTCAAAATCAATTTCGTTCACACAATACGATTGGCCTAAATGTTAGACTCAATTGGTATTTATTAACTATAATTAATATTAATATATCCGCACTATTAGTGCNCGGTTTGCCCGACAGGTGTTTGTCGATCACGTCCTCGAAGTGATCGATGAGAAGACCAGTCATTTCGGAGAACTCTTCCATCAAATCATTCTTCCAGTCCTCGAGTTGTGTCCGCAATGACTGCACTTCGCGGACCAACTCATCCACCGATCCCTCGCCAGCGGCTGATGTCTTCGGCGCAGACATATTGGTGTCCCGGAGAGTGTGTGTTGTGTCTGAATAGCGGATCAAATGAAGTGATGTTTGATGTCTTCAAATCAATTGCCGAATAATTTGCGCTAAAAAACTAAAACCTAACGAATCGTTCGCAACAATCGTTACGTGTTTTAGAGGGGGTTTTGTTGGCAGTCATTCTGTGGGCTAATCAATGGACAATTTAAACCCCCTTTCGCATTATAACTGTTATTGTTTTGTATGAAATAACGTTACAGTTATCTAACTTTTTTGTGTCCCCCTTTTTTTGCCATACATTTACAGTATTTAATAATTTTATTTTAAATTAATGTTAATTGAAATACTTTTATAATTATGTTTAACTATAGTTAAATGTTATTCTCATAATATAATGTATCATGTACAGTCTGTAAAGTACAGCTGACCATCGGCAGTAAACATTTAATTAAGATATCACTTTTATTGGGTAGCAAATAAAAAAACTTATCTTTACGTTAGTTTATTTTATTTTATTGTAATTTATTAAAGATAAAACTTCCCGATTAGATAACCCAGGGTTTTATTACATCTGAATCAATATTTTACATGTCTTACATCATTTCAATTAACTATCTTTCATTTTGGTTAATATTAATTAAACAAATTGTGATTATTTTGTTAACAATGCATTAATTTTAAGCCAAATCCAATTGCGGACCGAAATCACCCCTAAAAACCATTGACTTATACTCGTTTAGTATTGATCTTCCAGTTCGTGGCGTGTCTTCGGAGCCGCAATAGATTCCTCTGAAGCATAGTTGTGGTCACTTTGCCGATCGCCGGCACAAATATGACGGCTCTGTCTTTCACAGTGTCCTCAAAGTTCATACAACTCGAGAAATTGATGGCAATTACGCCCTCTTTGAGCGATTTTGTGGCCACTTTGTAGTTAGCGTTGGGAACACCGGTCACCACGACATCACTCTTCGCCAATATATCGTCCAGTTTTTCGCCGCAATCCCTAACCCTATACTTCCGTAACTCCAGATTCACTCCTCTGTCAAACACCAAAATGTCCGACACGTCCACCGAATAGACTCGGGCGCCGTCGTTGGCCAGAAGGGCGGCCAACGGACGGCCCACCACTTCACTCCTGTTGATGATTGTGATCACCTGACCGTTCAATTGATTCCCGTATGAGCTGTCGTTGTCGTAGATTTTGCAGTATTCAAGAATCTGTCCCCAAAACAAAGTAATTAAGAATTAAGATTTT